CCCCCCCCCCCCCCCCCCCCCCCCCCCCCCCCCCCCCGCAAACACACACACACAGCCCTGGCGACCCTGTCCCTGGAGAGCTCTGTGCCAAAGACCAGAACAGAACACAAGGACTCTGGAGAGAGTGAGGAAACCCTACAAATGAAACAAGGGCACCTCTTCTCCTTTGCTCTTTGTGCAGCCGCCCCCTCCCCGCATGGTCCTTCCTCCCTGTGCTTGTGGCGCTGGGAGGGGGGATGCTCTCAGGACGACACAGCAAGACTCCAGCACCTTCTGTCCCTCAAACACGAAAGACGGGTGGTGCTCTAGAGGAAGTGTCCTCTGCTGTTTCCTCCTCTTCCGGGTCTTGTCAGGGAGCTCTGCGTGTGCTCTGTGACACTGAGGCTGGAGGCCAAGCCCTAACCGCCCCATTTCTCACAGCCCATCATACACTGATCGCTTGGAAATATGCCCAAACCCTTCTAGAAGCAAGGGATGACTGCAGCTCTCCTTAGGGCATCCACTCTAAAAACCTTCCTACCATTCTTTCCAGCTTCAGGGAGTTTTTGGGGCCTAATGCTCTGGTGTTTGGGTCAACCCTCAGCTCTTTCATGGGTCAGTTTTTCTTCTGAGGACACTGGCCTTCTGCAAACTCCCAGCACTGGTGGGAGTAGAGGCCCCGGGGTGGGCAGAGAAGGAGCAAAGAGGGAAGAAGATGAACGAGGCCCACATGGAACTCCTGGAGGAAACTCCTTCTCAATTAGTAGGCTGTGAGGGGTGGAAAAGGATCAGGATAGGACCTTTTACTTCTATCATTAGACTCCGACTTATCCGCAGATAGATTCATGGTGTAGTGCAAAAATTATGCAAAACAACCAAAAAAACAAAAGGTTGATGCCCAAAAGGTAGGCCACTGGAACCTATGCTATGGTTAATGGCAAACTGCTCATCCGGCTCTGAATTCCCTGGCAGCCAGGGTGAAAAAGGAAGCATGCTTTGTAACATGATTTGCAATGTCCATAAAAAGGAAAACAATCACTTTCTCAGATCAAGCAGAACTCCCAGTCCCAAGACCTGACAAACACATCTCTTAACATGTCCTCATAAAGGGGACACCATGGGACAGAGTAACGAGCCCTTAACAATATACCTCCGGCAGAGTAATGGCTTCAATGGTGATCGTCCCTGTAATTCCCCCCAGGGCATCAAGCCGAAGTATTATGTGCAGTCCAGCACAAGGAAATCTCTCCCAGGGGTGGGGAAGGAGGGTACAGAGCAGGCCGGGAGGGGGCAGGGGGCTCACCCGATGGACGTGATCGTCATCCACCTCAGTGATGCTTTTGTCCGCATCAATGCACAGTCGCACCCTTCCTGCCGGCAGGTCGGCTGTTCCCTCATCTGGCTTCAGCACCGTTGCTGGTAGACAACCCGGTGGGAGAGAGAGGAGAGGGCGGGGGTGGGGGGAGAGAGAAAAAGAGGAGCAGGGAAGGAGGGGAGGGTAGAAGACGGGGCAGGTGGGGAGGAGATGAAAAGAAAGGAGAAGAGAGATTGATTCTGAGTTGCTGAGCCAGGCCAAGGAGCTGGAGAGATCTGAGACATGTCAGAAATGGGTTAGCGTCACCTCCCCTTGGAGCCTATTTACAGGGAGGGTTCTGAATTGTGACCCCAAACTCTTTGAGGAGAGAAGCTGGGTCTGACTCATTTGGGGCTTTTATCAGCTGGCACAATGCCAGGCACCCAGATGGTTGGGTGCACTGACCCAATGCATATATAGACCTGGGACGGCAGATAATGGCATACAGGCTGCTGGTTTTCTTTCCAGGGCCCATGACAGGCATCACTAATCAATCACTCTTCCCAGCCGTGTTCTGAATGGGACTCAGAGTAACTTCTCCGTAGCGTTTGGTCACTAGCCCCAAATCACCAGCAAAAGATGAAATGAAATGAAATCCACTGAAATGAAATCCATTTGCCCACTTGCACTAGACTCCAAGTTCCTTGAGCAACACTGTAGGAACCAAACAATGCTTGCTGCTTTAATGAATTAGTTAAATTAATTAATTACCAAGGAACAAATGCCTTTGAAAACAGCACCCAACAGACCAGCTGCCAAGGGTGAAATGACATCCACCTATTCCCACCCCAAAGCCACATATCCCCATCCCAGTCCCAGCTGCCCCTTCCCCCTTCCCCCACCCCTTACTCCGCAGACTGTGTTCAGGACCTGGCAAATACAGCTGGCAGCAGCAGGGGCTGTAAGAGGGAGAGGCTTAGCCCCCAGATGTGCTAACACCCCTAATTACCAAGAGTAAATCCATCCTTCTGAACCAGCCAGACTTTCTCCGCCTCATACCATCTGTCCTCAGGAGCCTGAGGGCAAAGATCGCATAAATTAGACCAAGATGACGCTGCCCTCCCCCAACCCCCATGTGAGGGGCAGACCCCTTACGTGGGCACTTCTCACAGTGCGTCTGGGACCAGCGAAATCAGAATCTCCCGGTGCTGGTGAGGGTGCTCATTTAAATGCAGAAGCCACAGCCCCACCACAGCTTCCTGAACGGTAAGCTCCAAGGTGGGGACCGGGAACCTACACTTCGAGCCACCTGCTGTTCACCAGCACGAAGAACTGTTGTGCGACAACGTCAAGCTCAGGCTCGAGAGGTGTGGTTGGGACGTTCCCTCACTCTGCGGAGAATCTCACCCCGGGACAGGTGCTGCGGGGTCCTCAAGACCCCCGCTTGTGGTCGGGGGAGTGCCTGTTCCCTTCCCTAGGCTGGCCATGCCCTCCACTCCCGGTCCGTCTCCTGTCCCTGCCTTTCCCACCCCTCCTCCTCTGGCCTGCCCCTCCCCGCCCCCGGGGCCGCAGCCCCCTCACCTGGTCTGAGACTCCGCTCTGGCCTCCTCTGCTCCCCTCCTGCAGGGCTGGCCCCTCTTGGCTCTCCTGACTCTGAGGCTTTTCCACACGGCTCTCCAGGGCAGGCTGTCCGGGTCCTTGCGGCTCCATCTCCAGGGCCCCAGCCCCATCACTGACTCTAGCGCAGGCGTCCTCTGCTTTCCACCCTCTGCGCTCAGGCTGGTCCTCCTTCCCAGCTGTAACTGGGGTCTCTCCATGTGCATCCACCTCCTTGGGGGCTTCAGAGTCCTTCTCTGTCTTACTCCCGGCTTTACCTGCCTCCCCAGACTCGCTCTGAGGTTGTCCCACCGGTTTCATCTTCCCCTGGGGCTCACCTGCCTTTCCAGCCATGCTCCGAGGCTCGGCGGCTTTCTCCATCGCTCCAGGAGCTTCCCCCACGTTCCCCTGCACTGTGCCCGTCTTCCCCTCCTCTGTCTGAGGTCTGTCTGTCTTGTCCGCCTTACTTGGGAGCACACCTTCTTTGTCCTTCTTACTCTGGGGACCGTCCCACTTGCTCCTTCTGCCCAGGGAACCTCCCCACTTTCTCACCTGGGCTTGGGCCCCAGCCCACTTCCCTTCACCTGCTGCAACCTTAGAGAAATTCCACTTTGCCCCCTTTTTGGGGGGGTCCCCTCTCCCTTTCTCCGCTGCCCCCAGCTGCCCCCCCTCACCCAGCCCCTCCCTGCCCTGGAGCTCACCCCCTTTCGTCCCTTTGGTCTGGGGGGCCCCACCCCCTTTCCCCATTGTGCCTTGATCCTTCTCGCCTTTGGTCAGTAGCACAGTTCCTGGGTTCCCAAGATCCCCAGTCTGGGTCAACTCAGCCTTCAGAGCTGCATCCTTGGTGCTGGCCTGGGGGCCACAAGGAGTCCCTGGGGTCTCCCCCTCTTTTTCCCCTCCAGGGTCTGTGGCTGGGGTCTTGCAAGCGGGGCCATCTCGGGGCTGGGTCCTCTGCTCTGGCTTGGCTGAGTCCGGGTCCAGCTTGGCCACCATCAGCAACACATCGCCCCTCCTTATCCCTCTCTTGAAGGGCAGGCTTTTTCTGGCTGGTGTCACACTGGGGCCCGACTCCTGCGGCTTCTCGCCATTGATACTGGTCATCAGCTCCGGGTCCATGGTGCCGGCCCCCTCACTCTTCTTGCCCAGAATGTCTGAGCTCTGAGGAGAGCTCGACTGGTCGTCCTGGGAGATGTGCTGGCTTCCAGATTTGGTGCCACTGTTGGGTTGGCTGGTGGAAATCTCTGGGGTCTAGAAGAGACACCACAACCATACTTAGCTGCTTGCTGACCAGACAGCTTTGTCATTCACTCATTTGTTCAGCCAGCCATTAATTCATCCAAAGACCCTCAAGCATCCACGGGCAATGGGCCAAACCCCAGCACCCTACACCCTAGGCTTTGGCTCAGAACCTCAAGGCCAAGTGACATTATGAAAGGAGAGTGGACTTTGGAGCCCAACAGACCCAAATTCACTTCTGAACTCTGCCACTCACTAGCTGTGTGGCTTTAGATAAATTACTTCCCCTCGGGACTTCCCTGGTGGTCCAGTGGTTAAGACTCCGCACTTCCACTGCTGGGGACACAGGTTCGATCCCTGGTCGGGGAACTAAGATCCCACATGCCGTGCAGCACAGCCAAAACAAAACAAACCACACAAAAAAACTTCCCCTCTCTGAGTCAGTTTCCTTACCAATAAAATGAGAAGCATAACGTCCTACGTCACCAGGTGGGCGTGAGGCTTCCCAGTAGCATGTGGAAGCTGAGCCCAGCACCTGGTACGTCCTCAGCAACAGCAGCTATTGCTGCTGCTGTCACTGTTCTATTATTTACGCCTGATTCTTCCCGCTGGGCCAGGAAGGGATGGGGAAAGGACATGGAGCCTGTCATCGGAGGACATGTTCTAGTCTTGGCTCTGATGCTTTCCAGCTCGGTGACCTTGGACGACATCACCTATCCTCTCTGAGCTTTGGTTTTCCCTCAGTGCAGGCAGATACCACCTGACCATCCAGACTTTTTTGTAGGCTGAGATGTGGAAATTGCAGAGAACTGAACAAAGTGATCTGCTGCTACTTTCGCTATCCTGGTCCCCAGACCACACCTGCACACCAGGTGAGGGCTCTGGATCTGCCCTGAGGTCTTCCACTTTTGCTTGGCCGAGACATCTGGGTACCCGACACCCAGGGGTCTCCACTGCCTGTTCCTCTCCCATGTCTTTCTAGTGCCTTGTGATGTCGGCCCCGCCCTGCCCTCCATCCTTAAACCAGCCTGGCTGTGGCCTGAACTGCTCACAGAGCCAGCTTCGCCTCTGCCTCTGCAGAAGGAGACCACGGGGGGAGTTCTACCCTGATGCCTGGCTGCACCATCTGCCCTAGCCTGGGTTCTGCCACTCTGGACCCTGCTAACACCAGCCTCCCACACACTTGTGCCTGAGCATCTGGGGTTCTCATCCTTTTGCATCCAGAACAGTCCCAGGATTGCGTTGATTCCACCTGCAAAGCTTCACACCTGAGTCTCCTTTCCCAGACCCAGGTCCACTCTCTCTCACCTGGGCCACGGCCACAGCCGCTGAGCTAATGTCCTGTCAATTTGCTGCCAGTCATTTAAAACCTCATCAAAAGATTCTGGAAGCTGCCCAGAGCCTCCAGGAAAGCCATTCAACACAGCCACCTGCCATTCAAAGTTCTTGAAGAGGAGCCCCCACCTCCATCTGGTCTCACTGTCCCTGCTCGTCTCCATGCTTCAGCCACGCCTGGCATCTCCTGCCACACCTGACGCTTCCCAGCTTCCCAGCCTTGGTTCACGTTGAGCTTGCTGCCCGGAACGCCCCTGCCCTCTCCACTCGTCCACATTCTACTCATATTTCTATACCCAGCTCAAACGCCCCCTCCTCCACAAACCCGCGCCTGAAGACCTCAACCAGAAACCGCCTCACAGACCCCCAGAGTCCCAGAGCCCTGTCTGTTCGTGCACCGCCTGCACCATGACCACCTGCTGCATCCCGTTCTAGCTGATTTGTGTTGCTCTCCTGTTTTAGGTGATGGATGCCTCCAGAGCACAGTCTCCATCTTCATCTTTGTAAAAATGACAATAATAATGGCTATTATTTATAGATCTTGCAATGGGCCCTCCATCACCATAATGCAATATCCTTCTTAACCTAATAAAGAACCCAATGAAGTAGGTTCTGAACTTCTCCCCATCCTACAGATAAGGGAGCAAACACAGAGATGTAGGGGGCCCAAGAGACAAACCCAGAATGGAAAGTCACACAGGCCTCTCTGAGTCTGAAGCCAGTGCCCTTAACTGTTGAGTACTGACAGCATTGCTTGTCTTCCTGGGACTCGCTGGAATCTCCTGGGAGCTTTAAAAAATTCTCTCGCTTCGGCTCCACTCCCAGAGAGTCTGCTGCAGCTGGTCTGGGTGGTGGCCCCCAGGTGACTGCAACATGCAACTGGGGCTGAGAACGCCGGAGCCCGGCAGCTCAGTCTGACCTCCTGGGACCAGGCAGGACACCGCCTTCGAAAGGGGATTGGCTGCAGCTGGCAAATCTCACCACTGTCCACACCACTTTGAACAGTGAGTCAGTGCCTTATTTTTAACCAAACCCCCGTAGAGGAGACAGTAACACAGGGGTGGGCCAAGCAAGACAACCCATCCCAACCTCCCTCCCCTCTACTATGTGTATGTACTCTCTTCCTTCAGATTTTCTCAGCCACCAAAACCCTCAGATCCCACCTGCAGCCTTCTCAGTACAAGGGGGAAGAAGAGCGTCTAGAATCACTGGGGCTGAGAGGAAACTCACAGCCCAGCCATTTTACAGATGCACAAACTAAGGCCAAGAGAGGGGATGGGATTTGGCCTGGAACACACAGAGTGGTGGGGCCAGTGCTAGAACCCAATTCTCCTGACATCCGATATGGATCTCTTTCTGCCCCTATGTTATTCCAGTCTCTCCCCATCCCTCACTGGCTGGGTGGCCTTAGGAAAACCAAGTCACTCCCAGAGCCTCATTTTCCACTCCTGCAAAATGGTGATGGATTCTAATGGCTCCCTGCAAGGATTATATGAGGCTCCAATGAAATGGCTGTGTTGGGGCGAGGAAAGAGAGGCCAAAGTTATTTAGTGATCGGGGCAAGAAAATTAAACTGGCAGGACCCAGCAAGGGCTTGCTGCCTCGCAGGAGCATGTCCTGAGGCTGCCCTGCTCCAGCCCTGGGAACATCTTGGCCCATGGTCCAGACACCTGTTGTCGTCTGAGGCCTGTCCATCATACTCAGAGTCTCCACCCCTGCCCTGCAGTGACAGCTTATCCCTGTCCTCTGCTTAGCTCTGCTTCTCAACTTGTGCGCAGCAAAGCCAGCGCAGCCGGAGGCTCCTGGGACCCTTTCCTCCTCGGGCCTCTGTGGCTGCCACACCAGCCACCTCACTCCCCAGACTGGCCCTTTCCCAGGCAGCTTGCCAGAGCAGAGGACACACAGCCTCCGGCCCTGGTCTGCCTCTATCTGGCCTCATGACCTTGAGGAAGTGCCTTGACCTCTCCGAATCTCAGCCTCCAGCTCTGCTAAGTGGGTATAATCCCATCCACCCCCTTGCTGGACAGCGTATCAAGTGAGCCCCTGAGCAGACAGTGAATCTTGTCGAGTGATAAACGGCACACAGTAACACTGCATCACGACCTAACAGCAGTCTGCGGGGGTGGACTTTGGCCCCCACTTACGCTGCGTCAGCCAGGGCTGGGGACAGAGCCTGCCCTCCCTGTCACCACCCCCACCAAGGCTCAGCAGCGGGGTTTCAGCAGCTGCCCCCGCTCGGCTGCTAGAGGACTTTGCCGACGCATCAGAGCCACTGTGACTAGACAGGGGCAGGCACGTGGGGGACCAGCCAGGCAGACAACAGCTGAAGGGGCATGGGAGGCAAAGCCAGGGTGGCCACTGGGCTCAAGCCAACTCCAGGCCCTGAGGCCACCAGATCTCTCAGCCCAATCGCTGCAGCATCCACCCACCCTCAAGAGGGCGTAGCAGAGACGCAAGGAGATACCCTTTCTGCTAACACTGTGATATGCCCAAGGTGCAAGCACCCCAAGCCTGCCTCCCTGGTGTCCAGCCTCATCATCCTGCCAGGGTTCCCGGGCTGAAGAGCTGGGGGACAGGAGGGAGGCAGCACTGGCCACCATCAGGGATCAATCTGCAGGTCCTTAAAGCACAGGGACTGCACCTCGTCCACCTACTGCTTCCAGCCAGCAGTGCTGGTCAGAGCATGTAAGTGGACACCGACCAGTCAGAAGGGACGCCAGCTGGAGCAGGGTCCTGAGGTCCCTTCTGGGCCAAGCAGTGAGCCTTTAATCATTGGCTGTGGCCACTCTGAGGGACTCAGGAAAGGGGCCTAGGTGAGCATGGCAGCTGGGGGGCACTTGGGGTACTTGGGGCCATGGCCATTTACCACCTGCTATGGAAGGCTTTCAGAATTTTAACAACCAATACAGCAATAATCAGAGAATACCACCTGAACATCTTTTCTGCTTAAATGAAAGCAAACTATCTATACATCCTCAGTTAACATTTAGGTTTCCCTTTCTACAGAAATAGTGGCAAAATGATCCCCTCGTACATCAACTGTTAACATGCATTCACTCAGTGAACAAAAATTTCTGAGCATTCACTACGGGTCAAGTTCCATGAGAGCTGCTCCAGATACACAGTCGAATGAGAGGGAGAGTTGTTGCTCTTAAGGAATGCCTAGTCAAATAAGGCACATGAGCCACGAATTACTATGCTGACCACAATTAAGACAGGCATAGAGGGTGGAGTGGGAATTCAAGGAAGGCAATGGGAGAGCTTTCCAGAGATGTACCATTTGAGTTGGGTTTTGACAGAGGTGTAGGAGTTTAACAGATCAAGCTGAAGTGGGGACTGCAGGAACAAAAGCTGGCAAGTGACTCAAAGGATGCTCACAGGACAGGATGGTGGGTATTTTTTAAATTATTTATTTAGGCTGTGCCAGGTCTTCATTGCAGCATGTGGGATCTTTAGTTGCAGCATGCACATGTGATCTAGCTCCCTGACCAGGGATTGAACCCGGGCCCCCCTGCAGTGCGAGTGCAGAGTCTTAGCCACCGGACCACCAGGGAAGTTCCCAGAATGGTAGGTATTGAAAGTCACCTGGTCCCCTTCCTGTGGGGCCACTTACCTCTTGTTCCGGGGAGGCAAGCACTGCCTGTTTCCTCCGTCTTGCTACCTTCGACTCTTTCTCAGTCTCCCGGACCAGTTGCCTAATGAAGCCCCCTGGGATGACAGAGAAAAGGGGAGGGGGCGAGGATGGTGGAGGGCTCCTGTCCTCTTCCCGAATCTGTTTTGCAGAAGCAAGGAAGGAGAAAGCTCAGTGAATGAACCAGTGGAGGCAAGCTGCCCTTTAAAGAATCTGCGACAGAGCCAGGGAGGTGCCCAAAGAGGACATACACGACCAAGCTCACGTACAAGAGGCCACTGCAAAGCAGGAGAGGCTCGGCGAGGCTCTGGGAAGCCTCGAGACAGCGCGTGAAAATGGAATGCACGAGCTTCAGAGGTTACTCCAGTTGGTGCGATCTCTGCCTGGACCCAGTTTCCTCATAATACGAATTTGCATGAACAAGGCCACTGGTTCCCTTCCCTGGTGTGGGACAGACCCATCTCTGGGAAGACCTGTTTCAGAAGGAGCTTTTCCAGGTTTCCAGAAGGGGATGGATCACAGGGAACCATCCACACTCTCCTGTCCCATCTCAGCTTGTAGTTAATAGATTAAGCAATTAATTCATCGTTTTAATCACTTTCTGTGCCAGGAGCATGGTAAGGGAGGGAAGGGCGGGAAGCCACGGTTTATATAAGGATCCAGCCCTATGGCTATAGCCCGCTCCGCTGACCCAGTGCCATGACTTCTTGATGGTCCTTAAGCCAGAATCTGGACAGCCAAGGGCTCTCCAATACTGGGCTTTAAAGCCTGCATTTTACCCCAGAAATGTGGTCTAAGCCAGCTAGCTGGACTTGGATTGCGGCTGAGAGTCACCACAGAGACCTTGGAGGCTGAGACCTGGGCTGGCTGTGACCGACTGGGGTGCGTCTTTAACCAGCATCACTGTGACTGCTCGTGAGTTTAAAAAAGAGAAAAATCTCCAGCACTTCTTATGGCAGAGCTACACACTGGTTTAAAATAAGCTCCTTATCAAGGTCCTCTTCAAGAGGGTGGCAGAGACTTGATCTCTGCAGCCCTGCTGATAAAAGGGAATCTAAAGGAGACAGGAAAGGCCAGGAGACAAAGCAGAGGCCAGGAGATAAGGCAGACTTCTGCCTAGGAAGAGAGAAGCCAGAGACACACGCTCACGTGGACTGAAACCTGAGAGTGAAAGGCACACTCAGCAGGTGTGAACCTCCACTCCCCCCAGCATTATTCTATGCTACACCCAGATCAGTCTGGGAGGGGCACTGGCAGCCAGAAAGAAGCTTCTCGACCACCCCACCCTTCAGCCTCCAATTCATTACATCCTGTCCACAGGGTGGGATGAGGTGAGGAGGAGATAACAAGCATCAAAGAAAGAGGTGGCCCTTCATGGAATCTTATGAGAAACACAAAAGGGAAAAGCAGAATCACTGGGAAGAAGGGCCCGTTTCCAGTTCTCCATGGTGACAGAAGGCAGGGACCTCAGAAACCCATCCCCGTGGCATAAACCTGGCAGCCAACAGCCCTGCCTCTGCCCCCTCACCCCCCGCTTCCCCACCCATACTTCTCCCACACAACCCTCATGCTCATCAGAGCTGCCATGAGGATGGAGACTGGACAGCTGGTCCACCCTTGTTCCCCCACCACCTACTGCGGAACAGACGGAGACCAGGCAGCCATGGGAGGAGTCAAGGGCATGGTCACTAATGCCTGGCTGGGTTGGAAAGGCCATGGCTAACCGAGGCAGAAGACCGAAGGGGGACTGGACATGCCCCAGGGAGGCTCTGAATGTCAGAATCCCTGCCCCAGGTGGCCCCAGGTGGCCCCAGGTGGGAGGAGGCAGCCTGGGCCACTGGGGCCATGACTTGTCCTTGGAGGGTCCAGTTGGCCCATGTGGCTGCAGCCCGAGCCCTGACCGTTACTTTCCTTCTGCTCCCACAGGGCGAGGCGTGATGAGATGGCCATGCTGAGGCAGTACCAGGACCGTGAGATGAGACGAGGTGAGGTGAGGTGAGGTGAGGTGAGATGAGACGAGAG